ATTAAGAAATTACAAACTAAATTAATTTAATTGTATAACGCAATATTGTGGTTTGAGCGCGTAATTAAAGCTGGGAATCTGCAGCATCTCCTTCGGAGGATTTTCCAATACCTCCAGGTCGATAGATGAGCACGAAATCTAGTTTGGACACCCACTTTCTTCCATACTTTTACGTGCGTTGTTCGGTGAAACGTGTAACGCCAATTTTCCCCAGATTTCTGAATAATTAAATCCTCGAGTGGCAGATTGCCAAAAAGAGAAGTGCGCGGGACTGGTACTCTCGTTGCTATTGGCGCTCCAAGAAAATTGTCTCGTGGCGAAGTACCAAATTCGGCACGAATACCTCCAGCGGTGAGGGAATCTGGCCTCTTAACTCCGCTTTAGCCGATAGTATCGCACGGTGCCAGTTTCCATGTAATATAAGGCGATATGCCTTTTGATAAAATCAAAATAAAACTGTGCGGAAAATGAAATTACATTCCCGCTCGGCTGTAACTTGTCTCCAAAATTTCTCGAAGGGTAAATTCAATATCCAGATAACAATGTGCGTTTGGCGGCTTTTTCTTAGAAGCCCGATGGTATTCGATGAATAAAAGTTATCTTTAACTTACAAATGCTATCACTTCAACAAGATTTAGATTACCAATCTCTTATGTCTGCTCTCGTCCCCAGTTCCGCACAGAAGAAAGATTATTCAAGTTTTTTCCGGAAGCTAACCAAATTTGTCCTTCCTAGTGGGTGTATCGAAGAGATCGATTTTTATCGATCATTTGGGGTCTTCACACCTATTTCGGTGGAGTTGGTACTCGGAATTTCCTCAACTGTCAACGTCCCTTTCAACCTATGGGGGAATTCACGTGAGGCGATATCACAGGCAGCATTTAGGTTAGGTTAGGTTGATGTGGCAGTCGGTTCAATTTACCAACTCACTTAGACCTTTTGAAGGTCCATTGTGGTACCACTGCAGAACACGGGAACCTCGGTGACTATTCTTCAGAGAACCAATTTGAGGCTCTTATAAAGCGTAGAATCGGTTTTATTCCTACGCGTGATAGTTCCGTAAGAGAGCTAAAGAAGGGCCTGCCTAAAAAGCTTGCTCTCCTCTTGGCCAAAGCTGGGCAGCTGCAGAGGAAGTGCTCTACGGTTTCTTCCTCTTCCTCATCTCTGCAACTTCTGCAATATTCGTGGGAGAAAATTCCTAGTCTTGAAGAGTGCCTGCCAAATAGCCAGTGACCGGTTACACAAGCCGTGACCTTCGCAATGTCCTCTCTTGAGAGGCACAGCAACTCTTTCGTCTTTTTCTTTTCTATTTGCGGCCAAAGCAGCCTGGTTGTTCTACATGTGCCCTCCTCTAGCCATGACCTGTTGGCCTCTTGGATCATGCTATTTCGAAGTTCTAATTTGCAGGTTGCCATGGGTATCCCAATAGTGCCCCTGTTTTCACATAGGGGTAGATTCGTACCTTTCCTGGCTAGCTCATCAGCCCTGCAGTTTCCTTCAATATCTCTGTGTCCCGGATCCCATATGAGGCTGACCTTGAACACGGTGCTAATATCGTTTAGAGCTGCGAGGCATTCCTGCGCAACCTTCGACCTCAGCATTACCATGTTCATTGATTTAATGGCCGCCTGGCTGTCCGAGAAAATATTAATCGTAGTCTTCGTTACGGCATGTGTACTAAGGTACACAGCCACCTCTTTTATGGCTAAAACTTCTGCCTGATAGACACTGCAGTGGTCCGGAATTCGGACGGATAGTTCCAGTCCTAGTTCCTTAGAGAAAACTCCGTAGCCAACCCTATTGTCTAGCTTGGATCCATCTGTGTAAAAATTCAATTCCCCCCGTCTCCATGGTCTTGGCGTTTGCCATTCTCCTCTAGACGGGATGCTCGTCTTAAAGAGCCTATTGAAGATTGGTTTGGGAGCGGAGTAGTCGACTTCTTGGTTGTAACTACCCAGAGTGTGAAGTATGGAAGCGTGACCAAACCGCCGATCCTTCCATAGCACCATACTTCTTAGTTTGAGCGCTGAATCGGCGGCCGCGTATTTTCCCACCAGGTTTATTGCGGGTAAATTGGTAATCACCTCCAGCGCCTTATTTGGGGTGGTCCTTAAGGCACCCGAAATGCATAGAAACGCTGTTCTTTGGACCTTACTCAATAGTTTTAGGTAACTTGCCTTTTGAGTTGCTGGCCACCATACAAGTATTCCATATAAGAGTATTGGCCTGACCACCGAGGTGTATAGCCAGTGTGTAATACGAGGTGTTAGCCCCCACTTGATTCCGACCGCTTTTTTGCATGTGTATAATGCAACGTTGGCCTTCCTTACTCTTTCCTCTATATTAGGTTTCCACGTTAGTTTCCTGTCTAATATGAGTCCTAGATACTTAACATTCTCCTTCAAGGATATCTCCACACCCATAAAGATTAGCGGGGAGACCATGGGAGGCCTGTGTTTCCTTGTGAAGAGAATTGCTTCGGTTTTCTCGGGGTTTACTCCGAGTCCCCTACTCTCTGTCCAGTTCCTAAGCGTGGCCATGTTAGAGCGCAGAATCTCCATTAGGGTATTTGGGTATTTGCCTTTGACGGCAATTGCCAGATCGTCAGCATATGCTGTGACATGGCAACCCCCCCTCTCTAGTGCCACCAGCAGAGAGTTCACCGCCAGATTCCAGAGAAGAGGGGAGAGAACCCCTCCCTGGGGAGTGCCTCTACAGACCTTTCTGCTTATTGTGGTGTTGCCGAGCTTAGCGGTTACCGTCCTGCTGACAAGTATAGACTCGATCAGCACCGCCACATTCTGGTCAACTCCAAGCTCTTCTAAGGCACCCGTTATGGCGCTTGCGTTAATATTGTTGAAGGCGCCTTCTATGTCTACAAAGGCAACCAGAGCGTACTCTTTGTCGAATAAACTTTTTTCCACCAACCCAACGAGCGAGTGCAAGGCGGTTTCCGTGGATTTGCCTTTCGTATAGGCATGCTGCGCTGGGGAGAGCCTACTTGTTGGTATCACGCCCCGTACATAATCATCCACTATCCTCTCTAAAATTTTGAGAAGGAAAGACGTAAGACTGATGGGTCTGAAGTCCTTAGGGTTGGTATGAGAGGACCTGCCCGCCTTGGGTATAAATGAGACTTTTGTCTCTCTCCAGCCTAGCGGGATGTAGCCCATGTTAAGACAGCTTCTTATAATAACCACAATGAACGGAGAGATAGTACCCCGTGATTGCTGTAGCTCTACCGGGTGTATTCCATCAAGTCCCGGTGACTTGTAAGGACCAAAAGTCTTAATAGCCCATTCAATTTTTTCGTTTGTAATCAGTCGGTTTCCCAGATCAGATAGCCCCCCTTCATTCTGGGGGTAATTAGGTTCCACCGGCTTATTTCCAGGGAAGTGTGTGTCCAGGAGGAGACCTAAAGATTCCTCGCTCGTCGTAGTCCATGAGTTCCCTTGACCCTTGAGATAGCCAAGGTTGCATGGCGACTTTGCAAGAATTCTTCTTAATCTGGCCGCTTCCGTGGTTTCCTCAATTCCCTTGCAGTAACTTTGCCAGGATTTACGTTTCGCATTTCTAACTGCTTTTTTGTATACTTTCAGATCAGCCTTGTAGGCTTCCCAGTCCTCTGCTGCTCTCGTGGCTTTGGCCTTGTTGAACATTGACCTATTAGATTCACGTAACAAGGATAATTGTTTCGACCACCAAGGTGGTTTGCTTTTTCCCCTGTATCGAACAACCGGGCACCCGGCTGACAAAGAACTATTCATGGCTTTAGTAACCTGATTAACCAACCCCTCCAGCTCCACCTGCGTGGCGGGGTCTCGGGGAGGTATCTTTGGCAGTAAAGTCCTTAATTTATTATTGTAAACCCCCCAGTCGGTATTTCTAACATTTCTGAACTCCCTTACTTGGGGGGTCTTAAGATCTATTTCGAATTCAATATAACGATGGTCAGAATACGATTTTTCCTTCAGTACTCTCCATCTCTTGATTTTATGGGCAAACATGTCTGAAGCCAGGGTTATGTCCAAAACTTCCTCTCTACTCTTTGTTATGAAGGTCGGCTCTGAGCCTAAATTCAAGACACTAAGTTTGTTCCCTAGAATGAAGTCTAGTAACGACTCACCTCTAGCATTCGTGTCCGTACTCCCCCACATCAAGTTGTGGGCATTAGCGTCGCAGGAGGCAACCAGTGGTTTGTTCTTGAAGGCTGCTTCCTCGGCCAAGGTCCGAAACCCGTCTGGTGGCACGTCCTTGTCATGGGCCATGTAGGCAGAGGCTACCCAAAAGCTGGTTTTGTCCAGCTCAATGCTTGCCACTACCAGATCGCCGTCACTAAGCTGTGGGAGCAGGAAGATGTTTAAGTTGTTCCTTACTAATATGCAAGCTCGAGTCTTACCTGCATTTTGTGCGGCAATAAGCTTAAAGCCCTTCATCCCAAGTCCGCAGATTTTATTGCCGTGTATCCACGGTTCCTGGATGAGGGCAACGTCGAGTCCACCGGCAGCCAGGCGGACCTCAAGGTTCGCAGACGCGAGTTTAGAGTGGTGGAGGTTGATCTGGATCAGCTTCATCAGAATCTGTCCGTTTTACCTCCACCATCGTGACATCCACGTCCGCCTCTTCGATCTCCTCACCCTCGGTGTCATCGGCGAGGAGGTCTTCTTCATAAAATAATGGCCCCAATCCGGATAGCCTCTCCGAGTCAGATGAGCATTGGCTGCTGGGCAACCCTTCTTCACCACCGCTGCGCAGGCCGGACTTGTCGCTCTCCTCACTAAGGTCCAAGCTCGGCTCGTCGCTGCGGTAGATTCGAATGGTTGCGTCATTGAACCCGAATCTCACCGTCCAATCCTTTTGCGCCAGTGGGGCTAGCGATTCGGCGTTGAGGATCAGCAACACCTGTCTTCTATTCTCTACTGGCTCCTCTATCTTCCCTACCCTCCAATTATGACTTGGCAGGTCCTTATTACAGGATCTGAAGATCCGCTCAATTCTTTCAGGCTCGGCGGGTCTGGCCGGAATCCAAACTCGAGCCCTCGGTCTGCTAGGAATGTCTTCCTTGTTGACGGCCTCGAGCTTGGCTCCCGGCCAAACTTCACCTACCTTACTAACGGCCAACCTATAGAGCTGGGCTGACCTATGGTCCTCGCAGGCGATGAGTTTAGCTCTACCCTGATACCATCCGGAATCATGGCAGAGAGGAGGAGGTCCAGGATTTTCGTCTAGGACTTGGAGGTAGATTTCGGCAATCGCTTCCTCCACCAACCTCCACTTCTCTTTGAATGAACAGTTGCCTGGTGTAAATGACCAATCGCTTTCAATGAAGTTGGTCAGCTACCAACTTTCGTTCAACTTTTCATTCCACTAATTGACTGCGAAAGTTGAATTATGCAAATTTCCTATTACTTTTGCTATTGCCAATTTCAAATGAATATTTAAACGGCACTTACGTTTAATTTTGGAATGTTATTCAAATGCCATTTAACGTTCGTTGGGTTTCAGATCAACTTTATTTAAATATGCCAAACAAATGTAAACACTGTGGCTTGCTCCTTGAAATCGTTGCTACATTTGCTTGTTTGTTTACATTTTGTACTGAACAGATGATTGTGTTT